CAATAGTCTTTGTGTCAGCTTGAGTTACAACTTAGTTGGTGCTAACTCTTCCGCCGCTAAAACAAACGTCCTCGTTTGTTTGGACTAAAAAACTGGGCTTGTGGGTTCTGTTGAAAAAGCCATTTCTGGTGTTGTGACTTTTTGAGTATCGGCCTCATTGGCGTTCACATTGTAGCTCGATAGCTCTGGTTCTGCTTTGAAATTTATTTTCGTGATTAACTTGATGATCAAACCTGCTATGAAGATAATGCTCATGATCGTTAGCGAAAAATTTGTTACTAGAGCTGCTGTGTGGGTTGTTTTCAGTGCGTCCAACCGTTTGGTGTTGTTAATGTGGAGTTCTTTCATCATTTCCAAGCTTAAAATTTCTTCTTCTTTGCTGGTTAGTATCTCGTTAAATGAGTATTTTTGGTTATCGATTATAACCGTGGAATTGTGGAATTGCACTGCATATGACCCTTCAAGAGCTATTTTTTTGGCTGTCAATTTCGATTGTGCCCTTATACTGGTTTAAAAGGATTATTCCGGGTGAAATGTTTTCGATTGAAGGGATGTGCTGATTGTTTACTAATGTGCACTCTGCTGGTCTGCTTCTTAGTAATGGTGGTACACAGGTAGTGTTACTAATGTCTATAATATCTCTATGACTACACATTTTAATATTATTGTTTTCTCTACATTTTTGTTTAATAGCAAATATTTTTTTATCATTACAAGTTACAATGTCTTCAAAAGGGATTTTATTAATATATTTTTTCCTTTTTATTGGTTTAATTAGAATTGATTCACAAATTTCTTCATTTGTTAATGGTATGCCTACTATGTAGAATAACATTGTGCTATTTGAAGCTATTTTTATATTTGCAAGTTCTAGCGATTCCTCAACGTTATATAATGCAAGGTTATTCCTTAAAATTACAGATTTAACTAATTCTAATTCCTCATTTGACAAAATATAAGAATTGACAATTCCGGCTTTAGCCCAATGGATCGCATAGTCTATATTGATTATTTCTTCCTTTATAACTCTAAGTTTGTATTTTAATTCTACAGCAACATTGTGCTGTATGTCTTCGCTAGATTGAACGGCTTTCAAAATTTTATTTGAAACGGCTGTTATTTTATTTATCCTATCAAAAACTATTTTATTTATTGTTACTTGATTGTTGTTATTGTCTATTATATTATTTATTTGGCTCTCTAGTGTAACTAGGTCATCATGATCGGGATTTCCCGCGATCCATTTCCAGACTTTTCCTATTGTGTTTATAGACTTCTTAAACCTTTTGGGTTTAATTCTATTTAGATAAGTTTGTGTTAAGTTTTATTCATTAATGAGGATGGGTAAAAGGGGGTTTTCGTTAGTAATCTTTGATTGTATAGTAGTGCTTATTTCATTTAATGCCTTTTGACATGCATCTAGATCAACCTTGTGTATTATCCTATAGGTTCCAGTTTGAATTTTTGTCCGTCCTGTGTCGAATGTTGCTAGTTGTGAGTTCGTATAGTCTATAATTTTATAGTCCGCGTATACTAAATGTACGAGAAGTCTGTAAAAAAAAATTATACGTATGTAAGAAAATTGAAAGATTAGTAGTGTTTCTAAGTCTTGATGTTACTTTTATGTACTGTCCGTTCTTTTTCAGTTATTATTACGCTAGATTTGTCTTCTTTTACTATTTCTTTCCTATATCTAGCGGTGAGTTTGGATCCTAATCGTTTATTTATCCTGACGTAAATTATATCACCAGGGGAATATGTTTTTATGGGTTGTCTTGTTTTGTTATGGGTTTCTAAATCTTTCGCTTGTCTTTTCCTAAGTATGTCTATGGTCTGATCTGTTATGATGGGGTTATTGTTGTTGCCTAGAGTAGTCCTGACTAGCTCCGGCCCACTGGCTTCTATAGCCTGGGAAACCATAGCTCGTATCATGTTTGCTATTTCTGGGGATATTTGTTGGGCAGGTGGGGGTGGTGCGTTATTCCCTACACTGGTGGTCTGATTAAATTATTTGGATTTGCCATTTCCTTTTGTTATTATTATCTCTTTTTTATTTTTTATTATTAATTTATCCTTTTAGGTTTTTGTTTAGTTGATAAATCACTGGAGGGTCCCTTGGGTGGTGAATCGCAGTGTTTTTTTTTATGTTATAAGCTGGAGGGTCCCCCCCGAAGGTGGTGAATCGCAGCTTCAGTAATATTTAATTTTATAGGCTGTACAAGCCAATTTGTTATTTCTGGATTTTAGCTACCTATTTCAATTTTTCAAAAAAAAATTTCTTTATTTAGATTTTTCACTATGTACCTATTTTTCAAACATTTTCTTTATTTAACTTTTTCACTACTTATTTCTATTTTTAACAACTTTTCTTTATTTCAATTTTTCAATTTTCAGACGTGTATCTAAATTCTTTCTCTAACTATTTTTATTTCGTTAAATTTAGGAATTGAGAATAAGGTTTATATGGTGTAATTAGTACTTATAATCTATTTTTCTTACATTAGTAGCAGCTGCATTGTTGGTAGTTATGCTGGTAAGTGTGCTGATATCCTTTTTTCTTTACGGTACTCGGGGGGCACTTGCTTACTCCTTGCTGTTTTTACTCCGGGTCGGCTGGTGTCGTGCTGTCGTTGGGGCGTCAAGGAAGTTCCACGTTCCTCTTCACGCCACTTAGTGTTATTATCTCACTTTTGTGTGGAGTCGTTTTTTATTGTGGCACACTTTTTCAAAGTCTTTCTTTCTTCGGTGCTTTTTTGTGGCACTTTTTAGAGTCTTTATTTGTTTTTGGCACTTTAGTGTGGCAAATTTCTTATAAAGTCTTTAATTTGTGGCACTTTGTTGTTGCACTTTTTTTCTTAAAAAAGGTCTTTATTTATTTGTGGCACTTTAACGTTCTTAACACTTTCAACAACTAACACTAGACGCCGCCGAGCTTATTTGACTCGGGCGCCAGTTACCGGCTT